TTCATCAGAGCAATGAATTAATGAAAATATTCAAAATTTCGTTGGATCGGATACCAGGAAGGTTGATTAGGATTGATAATTATCAATTATTTGATCAACAATTATAATTGCTGATCAAATAATCAAATAAATTCTAGGTGAAACGAAGTTCACCGGGTCAGCTAGTTAGTTAATAAAAATCTCACCAAATTGAAAGAGAGTTTAGTCCTCCAGAGTTGCTGGAATCTGCAGATAAATTATCAGCCGTCACACTGTATATGAATTTTACTTGCATTTGTCCTTTATTCTCATTGTAAGACAATTTAAAATACTGGTCAAATAGTAATAAATTATTATAAAAAAATCTTGTTGTTGGGACATAAATAAGAGATTTCTTCGGAGTTAATAAACAAAACTAAACAAAACTAACAAAATTGCTCCGCAATTTTTCTAATGCACGGAATATGTGTCGTTGTTCTTCGGCTGTTAAAATGAAAGCGCAGTATGTGTTGGTGTTTTGCATTATCGCGGCTAGCTTTAAAGACGGCCAGGAAAAGACGCAAGACAGATTGCCTAGTTTCGTCGAATAAGAGAAGAATTAAATCAGAGAATCGCAAGTGGAGAGGCTAATCTTCGTATCAAGTTTTTCAATGGTATTCCTAGTACTGCAAAGGTCAATAATTTAAACTAGTGTCTTCCTACGTTCCAAGTGTCTCAATATATTATCAAAATGTGCGCAGTATTCGGAATAAAGTAAATTATTTTTTAATGGTGCTAGTGACATGGGCTTTGACATCATTTGTATTTCTGAAACATGGCTAAATGATTCTGTGTCTAATTCAGAAATAATATCCCCTCACTGATATAATATGCATAGGTGTGATCGTAATTATAATCAGTTAAATACTTCAAGAGGTGGGGGTGTTCTTTTGGCATTAAAATGTTCTATCAATGTAGAAAATATTGATTTAACTAATCTACTTAATGAACTGATCAATGTTGAGACTGTAGGGTGTAAATGCTTTCTAAACAGACTACCATTCTATATATTTGTTGTCTATTTTCCAAGAACATCTTCTCATAATGATTTACTTATATTCTGTAATTATTTTGAAGATAACTTTAGTGGTGATGATAGGAGACTTTAATATTCCCCAATACACTACTGATATAAATAACACTCTTGTTCTTACACTTAACAACTTTAGTAGCTTTCTGAATCTATCTCAGTATAACACCATCAGAAATTCTAGTGATAGATTGCTGGATCTTGCTTTCTCAAACACCAATTGTAAGGTCATACGTGATTTAGTTTCTATCGTTGTAGAAGACTGTTACCATCCAGCTCTCTCAGTTTTAGTTGATTTGATAAGTGATAGCACAAACTCTTTTCCAAATAATAATGTAAGTCAACCAAAGTCTTTTAATTTTCGTAAAGCTAATTTTCCTTTACTTTATCAGGAACTTTGTAATGTGGATTGATCTTTTTTAAGTCATTTCAAGTACACTGATACCATGGTAGAACATTTTTACAGCTATTTATATAATATATTAAGCAAACATGTACCAACATATAGAGTTATTTCCAAAAAACTAGATTCCCACCAATCGTATTATCATAAGAAATATAAAAAATATAAAAATGCATTTTATTACGCAAAGTTCAAATTTTACTGCTAAAAAACCAAATAGCTGCTTCACATAAAAAATATCTTGCGGATATAGAAACTGAACTTAGGAACGACCCCAAAAAATTGTGGTCCTACGTACAATCCAAAAAAGGTCTGACAACAATTCCTGGTCGAATGATTTATAATGATGTAACGAAGTGAATTTTCGCGGGCCGGAAACCGTGACGCGTACCGCGAGACCCGGGGGTAAATTCGCGATCGCCGCGTCACCGCGGCGGAAGAGGAGAACTCTTGCCTGAAGTCTTCGGCCGTGAAGAAGTGCTGTGGCTATTGTGGGAATTTTTGAGAAGTGAGAAGCGAGCAGTTCGACCCTCCGACCACCGTAAGTACCTTTTTGGGTCGCCTGCCTGTTTTGTACCGGTTTTGGAATCGCCGCCCCACAGCGAAAAACCGTGTCACCGTCACCGCGTTTTTTTTGTCACCGTCGAAAGTCGAAACCGTCGTGCACGCGTCGTTCCCGTCACCGCGCTCCCCTCCCGAGTCGCCGCGCCGTCTTCGCGCGATTTCCAGGTCCAAGGTCGCCGCCCCCAGAGTCCGGAGGAGCCCGGCCTGAAGGAAGTCGCCGTCCAGAAGGAACGACCGTGCCGGACATTTAATTTAATTTTGTTTATAAATCGAATTGTTAGTTATTTAAGTTGTTTAGCCGTAAGATTTATTATTTTAGACCGTGTAGCTGGTGATAGGGAATAAACCCTATTTATTGGTATAACATTTCCTTGCCGTTTTATTTATTATTCTCGAGTTTTCGCGGCGGCTCACTACCTGAATTCCGTGCCTCCGGCTTTAGAGCACCCCGGCGCTCCCTCCCCCGGAGAGGGAGCTGGCGCCCGAGCGACCGCCGCTCCTGATCGAAGGCGCCACCCCCGGCAGCGTGAAGGTAGCCGCATAAGCTTGGTCGACCAGACGTGTTTCTGACATCAGCGATACTAGTCGACCCAAAGCTTGGCACCCAAGTACGCCGCCATCCCATACGTTATCGGCGAGATTCCGGACCGTCCGTCCCTCTCCGGAATTTCGTCGCAATGATAATTAAAATTAAATTAGTAAACAGTTACACAAACATATTAGTCACCTTATTTTTCAATGCGGATAAGCGGCACACACAAACAAGTATAGAAACTTAACTTTTCTTCAACATGCATATTCCTAGCGGAAACAAATTTCTAACATTTTTTTCCCACATTTTGATAAAAAATATTGGAAAATAAATTGCTTTCGCGATTACATATAGATTGACTATACTTTTAGTCAATTAGCTCTAAGGCAACTAATATTATTATGTGTTAATTAAATTTAAATTATAGCTTACATTAAAAATCGCGCATATAAACCCGGTTTGTAGAAGTTCGATTAAATATTAGATTATGATTAAATTTTTAACACGCCCTTAACGTAACCAGGTGACGACTCTACGCCAATCAGACGTCGCTAAATGCCTCGTTAAATGCCCAATTACGTTAATCTCAGTTAAATTACTAGGTATATATACTAGTCTTTGGATGTCGTATTTATAAACAAAAGCCATAATTTCATTTATAAATTGGAATTATTAGAATATTCACGCACAGTAAGCTTTTGCGAAAAGAGAATTCATACTATAAAAAAAAACTAATTCTTTTTGGCGGGTCAGACTATAGTCAATTGACACTACGAAATATGGGAAAATGAAATATACATTGTATTGGATTTGATATGAAAACAAAAAAAATGTTTTTTTATGTGTGGGAGAGGAAATGCCTTTACCAGACTACCGTGTTCGTTATCGGCGTCCTGGTGGATTACAATAAATTCCCTACCACCCTAAAACCCCTCCACCTTCTGCTCATGCATCAGATCTTTTCTCTTCAACTGGATCCTCACTTCTGAGTGGTCAAAAAACGGCTTTTGGCTCCACATTTTATTTTTATTTGTGCGTGCAAACAAACATTGTTATCTTAACCAATAGAGTTGAAGCGACCGATTACTAATCTTTGGAAGAGGGTGGGAAAACCTATATAATCCCTGCAATTTGCAGAGAAGCTCAGTTATCATCAGTCATCATCTACCTTCGTGTACCTTCTTCACCATGGCCATGTTAGGATCCTCGAACGGCGGAGACTTCGCCAACAATTCAATTATTCCAAATTTCAACGCTTTGAACAACCTGGGTGGTGCTACTCCTGGCGTCGGAAACTACAATTTTTACCCCCAGCAAACCAATCAAATGGTAAATACTAAATAGATATTGATTTTTAAATTAACCATTGCTAAACCATTCTTTCCATATTTACGTGTTTCTTTTAAAAGTTACAGGTACGTGCTCCTGACTGGAATTATCCAGTTCCATATTACAACATGTGGATCTACCAACAGCTGGGCAGCAGTCAACCCACCACAAGTAAGTTTACAATTAAGATTTCCCTAGATTGTTAATTTTAACACAAACTTGCTCAGGTGCTGTCCAACAGGAAACGCAACAACCCAATTTGACTCCGAAAAGGACTCGCACGGTATATACCTCTCAGCAACTTTCAGAACTCGAAGGAGAATTCAGTAGAGATAAATATCTCACGACGTCGCGGAGGACTCATCTGGCGGGGAGACTGAAATTGTCCGAACGACAAGTAAAAGTCTGCTTCCAAAAAAAGGGGTGGGAAAACGTATATAATCCCCGCAATTTGTAGAGAAGTTCAGTTATCATCAGTACCTTGGCGTATCTTCACCATGGCCATGTCAGGAGACTTCACCAGCAGTTCACTTATTCCAAATTTCAACGCTTTGGGTGCTGGTACTCCTGGCGTCGTAAACTATAATTTTGACTTCCAACAAACCAATCAAATGGTAAATAATAAACAGATATTGATTTCTAAATTAACCATTGCTAAACCATTTTTCCATATTTACGTGCTTGTTTCAAAAATTACAGGTACCCCCTCCTGCTTGGAATTATCCATCTCAATATTACAACCTGCCCATCTACCGACAACTGAGCAACAGTCAACCCACTACAAGTAAGTTTACAATTAAGATTTCCCTAGATTGTCAATTTTAACACAAACTTGCTCAGGTGCTGTCCAACAGGAAATCCAAGAAACCAACTTAACCACGAAAAGGACTCGCACGGCATATACCTCTCAGCAATTTTTGAACTCGAACGAGAATACAACAGACGAGAATTCAATAGAGATAAATGTCTCACGAGGTCGCTGAGGATTCATCTGGCGGGGAGACTGAAATTGTCCGAACAACAAGTAAAAGTCTGCTTCCAAAAAAAGGGGTGGGAAAACATATATAATCCCCGCAATTTGTAGAGTAGCTCAGTTATCATTAGCACCTTCGCGTATCTTCACCATGGCCATGTCAGGAGACTTCACCAGCAGTTCACTTATTCCAGATTTCAACGCTTTGGGTGCTGGTACTCCTGGCGTCGTAAACTATAATTTTGACTTCCAACAAACCAATCAAATGGTAAATAATAAACAGATATTGATTTCTAAATTAACCATTGCTAAACCATTTTTCCATATTTACGTGCTTATTTCAAAAATTACAGGTACCCTCTCCTGCTTGGAATTATCCATCTCAATATTACAACCTGCCCATCTACCGACAACTGAGCAACAGTCAACCCACTACAAGTAAGTTTACAATTAAGATTTCCCTAGATTGTCAATTTTAACACAAACTTGCTCAGGTGCTGTCCAATAGGAAATCCAAGAAACCAACTTAACCACGAAAAGGACTCGCACGGCATATACCTCTCAGCAACTTTTTGAACTCGAACGAGAATTCAATAGACGAGAATTCAATAGAGATAAATGTCTCACGAGGTCGCTGAGGATTCATCTGGCGGAGAGACTGAAATTGTCCGAACAACAAGTAAAAGTCTGGTTCCAAAATAGACGGATGAAATATAAAAAAGAATGTGGTCGAGCTGCGTCGCCTCAAATTGTGAACAATGATATGGCGGGAGAAACAACACAATCCGAGAACTTGAGGACCTTACCGGCACAGCTTAACCCCAATGATATTTCACCAGCTACTAATACCGTACAAGTGCTTCAAGTTCCTCGACATTTGATTCAACCTTCAGTGCAGTACTCACTTCCCAGTGCAAATGGTCAAAACACAATCAAACGAGAAGATCAACAGTACCAGTTTCCGATCACTCCAGAGCCGTCCCCAGAGCAAATTTCGTTCAATAACCTTAATGGCACTGGAGACCAGATTCTACCGACCAATGAAGTATACCCTTATAATAACCTAATGAACACCCAGTTAAATGATTTTTCATCTTATCCTTACACGCAATTGATTACGTCTACTGATGATGTGTAAACGGTCAATTGTATGAACGGTATAACCAGGTTCCGCAGATGCTGGAACAACACCAGAATCCAGTGTGGCATGGTCAGCAGGATATGGCCAATGGATCAGCATCGTTCACTAGTTTATGATTTATAATATTTTTATGTAACGACAGTGTATAGTACGGTATATAATTTGTAAATATTCAGCATGGATATGGTTCTTGAAATAAAAGTGTAAATTATAAAATTTGAGCTTTCGAGATTTATTTATTTTTCTTGTATCAACCCTTAAGTTAAAATAATATGCAGTTTGTTATTTATTAGCCACAGTAGTCATAAATATGCATAATAAATAATGACCATAATAGTTTAAGGCATTACCGCAGTAATGAAATGTGTCCTTATGGTAATTGTATGAACACTCAATTAAATGATTTTTCGTCTTATTCGGACACACAGTTGAGAACATCTACTGATGGTAGTGTAAACGTTCAACTAAACGAACAAATTAACCAAATTCTGCAGATGCTGGAACAACATCAGGATTCAGTGTGGCACAGTCAGCAGGATGTGGCCAGTGGATCAGCATCGTAAAATAGGTTATGATTTATATAGTATTTTATATGTGGCGATAGTGTACAGTACGGTCTAAATATGTAAATAATAAAATTGAACCCCCTGAATTTTATTTATTTTTCTTATACCAACCCTTAAGTTAAAATAATATGAGTTTGTTACTTATTAGCCACAGCAGTCATAAATATGCATAATAAGTAATGACCATAGTTGTTTAAGGGTCCCCAGTCGTCGCCCGCAAAATTGGTTTCAGTGAGAAGAATTATTTTTTGTGACTATGCAACCCGAAGTACCGATCCACGGCAGGTAGCGACCCAAGAGAGGAGAGATTATGGTCACTGTAGGGAGTCCGTCATAAAATGCAAATCGGTAAACAACACCAGATAAGCTTATTTATTTTCTAATGAAGGGTACAGGGAAATAAGCATGGAAATCCATTTGTATGTATTTTGAAAGAAATTGAGTTGAAAGTTTAAAATGCTGCGGAAAATAAATTGAGAAACCCACAAGGTTCACTCTAACACAACTTTTTATTTTCTTTATAATGTTTTAAAAATATATAAAATAAACTGTTTATGTTCAAATATAACAGCAAAAAAAAATTGGTGGAAAGTTGTTTCGACAGAACTTCCCTCGCACCTAAAATACAATGAAACATATCCAGCATTTTCGAGTTAAATTTTTACTTTAGGTACACAATTTTGTGATGAAATCATCAACATTTTCAAGGACACGTAAATCAATGTGGATTAGACTAAAAATAACAGTATTCGAAAAATTTCTGGGAGAATGGAGTGAGTCGAGACTGATTTAATCAATAGAATAAATTGACTCATTCATTAATTTTTTTGAGCCACCAAGGTATATAAGCAAATCTAAAAAAATATAAAAAAAATATAAATGCAATGATAAATTACAAGTAAACACTCATCATATTTTGCACAATTTTAGTAGAATTTATTCAGCAAAATTTTGAGATGACGTTATCAATTTTTTAGTAGCATAATCCTGCACTTGTGGTTTATAAATACATTATTGAGATTTTTCCATTCTTTAAATTTTCGATTTCACCATTTTTTTGTTTTTCGATTTCTCAATTGTCCGATGTTTCACTGATACGATTTCGCAATTTTTCAACTTTTCGATATTTATATTTTTCAATTTTTAAAATTCTAGATTTTTCGATTTCTCGAGTTTTCAGTTCTTCTATGCATATTTCAGTTTTTCAATTTTCGAAATTCATTAAATTTCTGATTTTTCATTTTTTTTTTATTTTTCGATTTTCCAGTTTTTCGATGTTTCGATTTTTCAATTATACGATTGTTCAATTTCTCGATTTCTAAATTTTAGATTATCCAATTTTAATTTTTTTTATTTTTTCATGTTTAAGTAAAAAATAACTACCAAAATTGTGACTAAAAATATGTAAAAATTAATAGAAAATAGAACACATTGCTGCTAAAACATAAAAATAACTGTATTTTCCCCAAAAATCTATTGCATGATTACTGTTCCACTAGTATTGCTAATTTAGAACGTTAGTATCAAACGCAATGAAAGTATTAATTCTTAGTTAAACAAAAAAATTGTTGAGTGTCAAAATCGAGTGAAACATGTGAGACGTGTGTAAACAAAAGCATCTAAATAATAACTATTTCCCGCAGAATTTCTGGAGGCTTATAGAGTCGACATTGACCTGAGCGCGCTTCAGTCTGTGGATCATACAAGTTCTCGGGCGACGATGTATCTAACGGGGCAGTTGAAATACCTGATATGCAACGCGCGGAATTGTGTTTCATACGCTAGATCCAGTGCTGTCGCGGCGATAGTTTGATTACAAATATATTTTTCTTTTGGACTATATCAACATAATATAACATTTCAAGATCACAAATCTGTGGTCCTGTGTATGAAAAATTAAAAAGGGCATCGAGTATTTTTATTTGAAGTAATATAGTAATATACAAGTAGTTTTTTAACAAGCCGTAAACACTCCTAGCGAACTCTTAGCGACGCACTGGCTACGACCTTGTGGACCAGATCAAAGCGTCCCCACTACTCGCCGTAAAACACACCTTGCTTCAACTGGGGAATTGCATCCGTAAGATACTTTTCCGCCCAATGCTGATATGTCACAGCGCAAAAAGTATTTCTCAAAAAATTTTCAAACGTTGATGTCTTTTTAATCGAACAAAACACAATTGGCGAACGCAACAATCCAGAATGGTGCGCAGAAAAATCCTTTAGACTAACCGAACGTTATTTTGGTAAAATTTGCAAAATAAGAGAACAAGTAACACGGCTAATCCTACTGTACTATGAAAAACATTTTGCATCCCTGCAAATCTAGTTCAGCATGTACTCTTCCAAAATCTTTGCATAGAAAATGAAGCAAGGGCAACTGAAGCATTTTGCAGTAACACCAAACTGACAATAAGACAATGCGGTTTGTACATTTTTAGCGGCATCACCAGACGGATTAATAAACAAAAACGCTATCGTAGAAATATATAAAATGTCCAATTTAAATAATGCTTAATTCACCGAGATGACAAATTTTGGGAAAATAATATGATAGAGCTCTAGAAAAATTTTATTTATATGCCTTACTTCCGGAGAGAGTAGATTCTCGTTATTAAACAAGTCATCCCATTAGACAAATTGTAAAGAAAAAATTGTACAATTAAAATTTTTTATTTGCATTCGCGTCACGTGTAGTTCATATAAATCTTTTGCCCTTCTAGTATAAATACACACAGGAATAAATAGTAATATAGGAATAGGTTTACTGGAGATATCACGTAAAAACATGCCTGTAATACTCTACCTCATAGGTGGTGCGGAAAAGAGTATAAAAAAATTAAATTTAAATAAATATGATTGTTCAGGTAAATAAGTGGTTAGTGAAGTGATGAAAATCTAAATCTTGTCAGTTTTGTGTATTGATTAATATATAATATGACAGATTAATAAAAAATATTTGAATAATTTTTTCAAAGAAAATATTTTAGTAAAATATATAAAATTATAAAAATTTGCATACTTTTAAATCAAATTATGTCAGCAATGAAAGAAGTCGACTTGTAAAAGAGTTTCAACAATGTTGGTCAGCTAAGAGTATTTATGAGTTTTATGACCTAAAGTACCTGGACTGATTACCTGAAAGGGTCGGTCGGCAAGGCTCCCTGCTGTGTAAAACTCAGCCATTTATTGAAACGGAAAACTTTGTAAATAGGGTTGCCCAGTTTCACTTTATTTTCATTAGTAAGTATTTTTTTTAAAATGCAAATAGTTTGATAAATATAAATTTTAAACAAAAATGACCGGGTCTTCCCCATAGAGCTCAATATTGTCTTTGCACTGATATAAAAGTTGAAGCGAAAAATGCTCTCTCCTCATCTAAAAACGCAATTTCCTTCGAAGAATGAACGATTAATTCAACACTAAACAATCACTTATTTTAAAAAATATTGTGTCTTCCCCAGAGATTTAGACATAATCTATCAATTGAAATGTCGATCTTTTTCTCAAAGTTGAAATTACGCCCGTAAAATGAAAATCTATTTAGCTCATTTTTCGGGCTGCTACTGGGCACCCTTAAAAGTTAGGTCTCTCACTTTTGCTTGCCTTGAGTATACCTAGTAAATCTTTGCAGCCTCGTTAACGAACGATAGCGAACAAGTGACTTTACTATACGGTCATATATTTCAAAGACAGAGGTCCAAGTAAGTAGACAGATTTACAACGATGGGTGGTTAAACGTCATTAAAATTAGTGAAAGTCAATAGACACTTGGTGCACACTGCGCCCTATATATCTGTTCAACTAATACCGTGTAAGAATTTTACCTACATTATCCTTTATGTCTGAGGTATTTAAAAGACCCTACTGTGTGGGCCATAAATAATAAATTTCTATGGGAACTAATAAGTATTTTGTGATGTTTACCTAGCAAAAATGCTCCCTTAATACTCCTTCTGATATTGTTGATGCATTTGCCTCTTATTTTCAGTCTTTTTATACTCAATTTTCTGACAATAACTCCAATATAGGTACTTACAATTTAAACACACCAACGCTCTATATTAAAGAAATTACTGAGCATGATATACTTACTGCCATAAATTATCTCAATAACTCATTTACAGCTGGTCTAGATGAATTACCTAGTTTCTTGGTACGTGACTGCAAATATTTGTTTATTGAGCCTTCATTAGCAATATATAATACCGCCCTCAAGAGTGGTGTCTTTGCATCGAAATGAAAGCTGTCTAAAGTCATACCTGTTTTTAAATCTGGAGACAAAGCTGATTTTTCAAAATATCGTCCTATCTGTATCTTATGCAATTTCTCCAAAGGTCTTGAATTTATTTTATACACTTACATATTTCCTCATGTGAGAAACTTTATTTCACCACAACAACATGGTTTTATTGACAAACGCTCAACTGTCACAAACCTGGCATGTATATCTCAATTTATTGCTGGAGCGATTGATAACCAATCGCAAGTGGATGTAATATATACAGACTTTTCAAAAGCTTTTGACCGTATTGATCACAAAATTTTAA